AAAAATAAAAACTGCTAAATATGCACTATTACAAACTCATTTGTTACCTAGTTATGTGTGATACTATATGCAAAGTTTCACACGTATAGTGAAGTACAGTATGCGCACCTCATGAAAACGGCACATTGCCTGTAAACCGAGTAATTTATAAAGCAAGAAAGAACATTCTGATTGATTGAAATGTCATGTTTAACGTCCGAAAACCACCATATGATTATGAGAGACGCTGTAGTGGAGGGCTCCAGAAATTTCGACCATCTGGGGTTCTTTAACGTGCACCAAAATCTGAGCACACGGGCCTACAACTATGCGTCTGCATCGTAAATGCAGCCGCCGCAGCCGGGATTCGATTTCGTGACCTGCGGTTCAGCAGCCGAGTACCTTAGCCAGTAGACCATCGCGGCGGGGCAAGCAACAATAATCTGTACACCCTATTCAGTACAGCTTGAACTTACCGTACACTATCACTGCTTTTCAGTATAAGGCTTCCATATGCCCACCTGGTATAATGGTGGCGCGTGGGGTTGTCACAATGGCAACTGTTGAGCTTCTTACAACTGGATGTGGGTCGCTAAGAAATCATTGTTCTCTCTTTAGTCCAGTTTTCTGAGAAGAAAGAAAAACAGTCTTGAGCAGGGTAAGAGAGAAGTGGTTGAACCAATTATGTTCAATAAAAAAATTTCTTCAACCATACCTTGCTATTATTTTGGCCCATGAGCTTGCTTTCAGTGGTGACACATTCTCTGCTGACTTGAGGTAGGTTCAGAGTGATGAGGCATCCAAGTGTACACTGATATAAGCAGTTTCTTGGAGGCTGCGATTGGGTTGTAAAACAAACAGTCCTGGTTACTCTGGTAGAAGCGTGAATGAATTTGTGATGCATGACTAAGAAGAATGTATATAGGGACACTGCATATAGGAAAAGTAGTGTGGAAATAACAATATGGTTTTTGTGAATTTGTCTTGTGGATAGCATTATAATGAATTTGTTTCAGTAACGTTCTTCAGAGGACAAAGCTATGTAATTTCCCAACTGGTTAGACTATATGGTTCATGCAAGTGTAATATGCTTCATTGTAAACTTACTAAAAATGTACAAACGAGTATATCTACTAAAGGTTCACTTGGCTCTACTATGCACTGAATTTATGAGCATATACTGCAGCAGACTCATTTTGAGGAGAAACAGGTAGAGCTTACGCTGTGATCTGTGCTAGAAATTTCAGCTGTAAAGGCATATTCAGCGAATGTGACAATGAAGTAAACCATCTCAAACACTTAGCAGGTGTGCATCTCATTAGCTCTACAAGTCGAAAAGCCTTATGAAATCACAAAAGCTGTAGCGCATGAAAAGAAAAGGGCCGTGTTTAGATGCAAAGCAGCACATTTTTACTCACCGGTGAGCACGCCCACATTGTGCAAGATTCCGTCTGCATTATTCCGTCTGTGTAGGCAATCTCTGGGCATGTTGCCGGCGTTGAATTTTCAAGCTGGAGGCTGTTACCCCGGACGTCCGTGAAGCACAACAGCTGACATGGTTTACAGCCTTTAAACACGTTCGCTTTGTAGTAGCGGCCCGTAAAGTCAAGCTCGCATTGATATATCAAAGCTGAATCAAAACGGAGCTTCGCAATACCGATTTACAAAAAGTACCACTGCTAACCACGGTGAAATTTGAACAAAGTAACCGACAAAAATGCAATCGGTGCCAACGGGCTGCTGCTTTTTGAGCGTCAGGTTAATCTTAATACTTGAACTCATACAGTCACTGCTCTTGTATTAATACTAAAAGTAATACAAAAATAATATATCCAATTTTTTAAAAAAACGTGGTAAGTACTCTTTTAGCGGTCTTTTGATAGATCCTGAAATAAAAATTTTAGCTACGTTGACCGCCGCTAAAATGGACACTACACACTAACTTACCCGACCGCTAAAAGAAGAGTTAGTATTTCCACTACACACGCCTATGCCGGAACTCGCCGCGGTCGATTTTTTCGTCCTCTACGGCCATCGCGGGAACTTGAGAGTTTCCGGGGCCTGGTGTAGCGCTCTTATTCCATAAGATTTTCGTCACGCTTCCCTCGCAGTTCGCGCTGACGTCACTCTCTCCCTTGCCGCACTTGCTCCTCTATCGCTAACGCCACTCGCTATACCATCGACTCGTCGGTTCACGTGCAATAAACCTCACGCACGCCTAACTTAGGCGTTGAAACATAGCGGTAGGTGCCACCTCTCTCTCGCTTCATCCTCTCCACCACTCACAACGCTTGATCGCACATCGAGTGGTAACACTCTGTCGGCTCGTTTATCTCGATGGAGAAGCCGCCGGAAGACGACGCTCATTCGCCCGCTGAAACTTCCGCCGATGCGATTATGCCTGTGGTGAACTAGAATATGATCTAGTGACGAGGCCGGCTGGGCTCTGGCGTCAGCTTTCACGTGGATGTCGCCAGGTGACGCCACTGCTACTTTTCATGCCAGCTTCGGCTGCGTTGTCGGGTGGACGCGGACTCCTGCAGAGCTTTGGATGTAGTTACTTCTAACGCCGGTTTGCTTTCTGCTTCGTGGAAACGTAAAACTACGAGGTTAGTCGCTGTATGGACAACCTGGCAAAAGCGTTGGCGTGGCATCAGGAACTATTGACGTCTTTTCTCGGGGAATGAGCACCTCACTGCCATTTATCACGTGCATATTTTCGCGCAGGATGCATCTTGGATCGAATTGATGTTCGCACACCAATGAAGTTTTGGTCAAAAGCTTGTCAACACTCCGAAGGTTGCGCTCCCACTTTCTGCTAAGATCGGCATCCCTTGGAGCTGCAAACAGCGACGTCATCAGAGCACCCCGGTTACTGATTGGGCAACCCAGAGCCCAGAATGAGAATCTGTTCTTTGTTAAACCCCACAAATCAATCAAATCAGAATCTGTTCTTTGCTTCGACATGTCGCAACCTACAAGTTTGTTGGGGCGGGATATCTCACAAAGTACAGACTACACCCTGGTGCTGACGAGAGAATGCAGCAGATTGCACCGGCACACGTGCAGTAGGCTAGCTTGTTACAACTGGAAATGCAATATTCCGGCCTGCAAAAGACCCTCATCGGCTTGGCTCTCTAAAGGCTGTTTCACATGGCACGATTGCAGCAAAAAAAATCGTTTTGTTCACTGACCGTTCAATCTGTTTGCAAACGCCGCTAATGGTGATTTTGTTTCACATAGACTGTCAATCCTCCTCGATTATCGCTCTGCAACTGGAGCGGCGAGTTTTTGCCACCATTATTTATGGCAGACACAAATGTATTGTATTGATCAGTGCATTATGATATCATTAAATTTCCATAGACGGCAACCGTAACCGGCAACGACGAACCCGCCTAAGTGTTTCGTCATACAAGAACACTTTCCAATCTAAATTGATTTTAAAATGCAAAACGTCAGCCGTTACCAAAACAAACACAACTCTGTTTCGATGGCTTGGAAGGCCCTATTGCAACGGCTTCTGACTGAAAATCACTCCCGCCGCTGTGATCAGAGCGAACATTTCCAACATGTTGGAAACTTGCCGCGTACCGCTGCGGAGGGAACAAACTGTCCTTTTTTTCGCTTTCAGCGCATTCGCAACCTGAAAATCCTAACGCGTTTTGTGTGCGCTAGGATTTCTCGCTGGCCGTCGCTGGCCCTCTCTTCTATATCTATCGGGCTAAATGTTATTTCGAACATCTGCGAATGACAAAAAAGCAACATCATTATGCTTACCAGTTATGGTATTGGCTCTAACGCGTACTTCGAAACCCGCACATGAGATAAAAGTGACACGAAATAACACGGTACTAGGTGTAACAGAACACAGGAAACGAAAGAAAAACATGATAAGTACTTTTCCATGTTTCTTTGGGCTGACACTATCCGTTAGGGAAGCCTGTATCTATGCCTTCCGCGCGCTTTGGTCAGTTGGAAACACAAATACGTGCACTCGTGGCCCAGATTCACGGTTTCCACTGAAGTGTGCCCACAACCCATCCGTGGCACCACAGCTGCTCGCAATCAGGTCACCCACCAACGAATACGAGCACAACCACAAGCAGCACACATCACAACTTTGAGAAGCCCGACGGCACACAGAGAATGATGCAACATTCGATGTCACCTGTGGAAGCGCAGTAATGCTGCTGGGAGTGCAACGCCGATGCGAACGCGCCGCCGATTGGTGGCGTTGGTTGCATTGTGTGTCAGTACTGCGCACAACGCAGCCGGTGTCGTCAACCCGTTGACATATGCGGTAGAGCTTCCAGGCATTGACGAAGTTTTTTCAGGTGGTGGTGACTGAACGCGCCGAACTCACACACATACTCACGCACGCGCACTGATTGACTTCCGTGCTGCATGCACTATCCAGAGAAGACGCCGCCGGCGCGCGGTCGCCTCGCGCACATGACAAGAGAAGGCGCAGTGGCACCGCGAGAAATCCTAGCGCCCATCCGTGTTGTTTTAGACCACCAAGGCAGGAGCCGCGGCCTTCCGTTCACGCCACTCAATCATATTCTAGTTCACTATAGAGTACGCCTAACTAGGCCATCGCCACCATTGCGAGGGTTAGTGAAGCCGAGAGTGTTATCGAATCTTGACGTCATTTACTCGAGTAAACGCTGCACCAAGTTTCGCCTCAGACCATTCTTCCAGCATGCACGTCGACGCACGTTAACCGGGTCAACGCCAGCGCACCACTGCTGCTTCGCATCCCATCACAGTTGCCTTCGGGAAGGTGGTCTAAGTTTTTCGTCAATGACTGAACAAACAGTGCTATGGTAGATTCACTAATATTAAAAGTGCGGGATTGATGCGATCGACGTTTCATGGCACTAATACCTCAAGTCGCGATACACAAAAATCTAAAAACACTCATTTCGCAACCCGAAGTGGCGGCCCCCTTGTGTTTCACGTGAAATTGTTTATATGCTCTCGTTGCAGCGCTGGCTCTCGCCCGTGCATCGTGCGAGCGACACGCGGGAGACTGGAGTCCCTGCTCGGCCACGTGCGGCGTGGGGACGTCCCGTCGTATGGTCACCGACTTCCATCTGGGCCAGTGCCGCAGCCGCAACGAGACGCGCATCTGCAACGTGAGGCCGTGCAGTGGCCGGAACGCCGCCGGAATGGCCGGTGCCTCGGGATCGCGCCACAGGACCAGGGTGAGCGATGGACGCGCAACTTCGGCCGGCGTAGTGCGGCGCGCGGCCCTCACATATAGAATGCGAGAAACATAAATACACGAATATGAAAGACAGAAAAATCTATCAAGCTTTGGCTCTGTTGACAACTCTACATGTTAAGGGGTAGGGGGAGGCATAATAATATATAGGAAAAAGAACAACAGTAAGAAAAAAATTACGGCATATTCACGTGGTGAATGATGATGAATGGGCGAAGCTCCGGAGGAATTCATCGGTAAACTGTGAATCTTCCGTGTAATTCGCCCAGTCGATCATCATGTAAAGACGTGAGAAACGCTGTGTGTGTATATACACAAATCAACTTTTATTTGTTCTTAGACGATGGGTGGCTTGCGATGTCCCTTCATTATGACGGATTTATGGTCTGTGAAATGAAGGGAGAGCGGTTCCTGTATGGGTTGCAGTGGGCAATTTGCAAATACTAGGTCTATGCATGTTTCTCGGATCGTGGTAGGTTTCATATGGTCAAACGATATACGTCTGAGTGCATATCTAGAAGCCATATGTTGGATAAGCCAATTATTGTCTATGATAGCCACGTTAAAGTCTCCAAGTAGTACAAATGGTCCATTCTTGTATTTGTTCTCATAATTTCGTAACGCAGTGTCTATGAATGTCTTGATGTTCCCGGTCGACAGGTTGGGTGCGAGGTACATGGTCATGAGGACGATTCCAGAGTCAAAGAGTTTGATGGCTGCATATTCTCCGTTTTGGCTTTGACACGTGAGTGGTAGTCTGAGATCTTCAGCCGTTTCCGTTTGCCTCACGTAGATGGCGACGCCACCTGCAGGACGTTCTGATTCATCGGTACACACGACGGGAACGTATCCTTTGATGAACAATCTCGTCACGTTCCACGTCTCGGTAAAGCACAGCACGTCGACTGCGGTCAGCATGGGGTCCCTTTCTATGTCAAGTGCGTGGGCATTGAGAGAGCGAACGTTGAGGAGGGCAATGGTAAACTCGTTGGAAGAGTCAACGTCTTCTCGCAGAGATCGTTGGTACTGCTGTGTCACGGTCGGTAATCGATGTCGGCCTAGACGTTGAAACTCGTTCAGCATCGCCGTGTCCTCGTTCTTGTCTTTACGGTAGAACCGCTCGTCTCCTTTTGCATTGGTGAGGTAGAGGTTATTTACGTTGGTGCAGCGGCTGAGCGCGACGTTTTGCAGAAGCCTCTCGAACTCTCGCTTCGGGGTTCGCCTGTCGATACGCACGCTTTCTCGCCGCTTCCCGTTGTGTGGCGTTCGGCAGGTCCTGTTCACGCCGCAGCCGTGCCGCTGTGGCCTCTTTTTCACGTACGGCAGGATCTTGGCGGCGGCGTCGCGCAGCTTCACGGAGCGCTTCTGCCTCGCGCGCTCGCACATCGGGATTCTGTCTGCGAGCGCGCGCTGCTGCCGCCTTGCGCTCTCTCCGCTGTGCAGCCTTATCCATCCGGCGACTCCGAGCGCGCGCCAACAGCGAACGGATTTTATTACAACGCTCCCCCTAGCGTACGTCGCCGCACTAAATCGAACGATTGCCTTCAACCAATGACACGCGCCATATGTGACATCATTCCTATTTTATAAGATCTCGCGTCTTTCATCAACTACAAGTACCGCTTTCTAGTTTATAACATCTTGCATCTTTTCATCATCAGCTACAAGTACCACCATCTAGTAAACACTACAAGAATTAAACGAGAGGTGGCTACATACAGGAGACGGTACCGCCATCTAGTGAACACTGCAAGAACTAAACTAGAGGTGGCTACATACGGGGGACGATACCACCATCTAGTGAACACTGCAAGAACTAAACTAGAGGTGGCTACATACAGGCTACAGGGGACGCACAGCCCACGCCCTAAGGAGCTTCGCCCCTAAAAAAGAAACGAACAGTTAGTGTGGTTAGTGCAAACACACACAATACGAGCTCGCGGTGGTAGTTTACAAACGCTCGGGAAATCCAGTTATCTTTAGAGAAGCACAATAGCCATTTTAAAGCAAATGGGTAGCCCCGACGTGCGCGCAAGCGCTCGTTGGAGAAGTGTTTACGCCGAAGCAGATGCCGCGATGAGCGCGCGGGCTTCACGCTCTAGCTTCTTGCCTCAGCTCCCTGCATTTTTCAGGCCATGAGACTTTTATACCTATAAGAATAACTGTTTTCTAACTGTTTGAAGAAAGTATTGTAGTTTCCTAAATATCCAAATTTTTAAAACTCATTTTATTTGAACATATTGCAGGCTTTTTACGACCTATGCATTAGTAGAGACATGTGGACGACCTCCGCGTTTGTCTTTTTAGCAATGTCGACCTGTTTTTTGGCAAAATGATGAATAATACACACGATACCTTGCTTTCTTGAAACGATCAATTAGAGGCTGGAGACTACTTCTCCGCTTATTTTGCACAAGTTTTTTTTATCGGGTGGCATGCGCACGTCGCTTTTACAGCACAATTCTTCGTTTGACGATAGACAGATTTAGTTCAGCGTCTGCAACAGCGCTGCGGACGCAGCCTGCCAGTGCATATAGTTGGCAGGCTGCATTCATAGAGCTGTTGTGGACGTCCGACGGAGTCTGTCCAATAATGGAAAACTCGAACACAAAATTAGCCACCAATTTAGTAGAACACCACCACCATACATGAGCTGCAAGAGAACTTGAAGGCATGTCTTAAAAAACGGCCAATTATCGCAGCAAGGCACTGTGCAAGTGAGTTCTAGTCCCATTCAATCTTCTTTAAACGCATTTAGAATTTGTTCACTTCTTTGTACAGCGCTTGAAATGTCAGTTTAACATAAATAATAAGCTCTTTATGTATACGACAATATTGTACCAGTTATTCGCAGCATGGTGTGTTCCCGACCACAAACCGACACTGTATAAAGACCATTTTTATTTCATTTCATTTCATTTATTTACTCACAAGGCACTGGGCATTACAGAGAGGAGTGGGACAACAAATAACAATAAGAAGTAAAACAAAACAGCAGTATTAGGTTAAATTATAATGCACTTTCAGAAATGACTGATTTGAACGCGTTGGCGTCTGTGATTGAAGCGATCGATGCGGGAAGGTGGTTGCAGTCAGTACATGTTCTAGGGATGAAAGATTTGAAGTGCTGGTTCGTATGGCAGAAGGGAACCCCAACCTTGTATTGATGGTCATTGCGTGCTGATATGTAGGCTGGTGGAAAAAACAGTGAATCAGGGAGGGTTCGGTTAGGGTGATAGATCTTATGAAATAGAAAGAGACGTGAATTTTTGCGTCGTATTGAGAGGTTATACAAATGAAGTTGAGCCTTCATTAATGTGACACTTGCAGTTCAAGAGTAATTGGACAATATGAAACGTGCTGAGCGATTCTGAATGGATTCAATGTTGTCTGTGCGCATGTGAATATGAGGATTCCAGATATACGACGCATATTCAAGTTTTGGCCGCACTAATGATTTATACAGGAGAAGCTTTAGCTCAATTGGAGCAAGAGAAAAATTTCGACGTAAATAGCCAAGAGTTCGATTAGCGTTGCATGTTATGTAGTCAACTGGAGCCTTCCATGACAGGTTGTTAGAAATGTTAACACCAAGGTGCTTGTAAAAAGAAACGTTGTTTAGGGGAGTGTTATTAAGTAGGTACAAGGGGGACGCAACTTTTGAAGGGTTATGAGCTATCCTCATTTATTTGCATTTATTTGTGTTAAGTTTCATTAGCCAATTATTACACCACGAAGAAATATTGTACAGGCCAGATTGCAGGGTGTCAGTGCCGTTAGAGGCAAAAATTTCACGGTAAATACCACAATCGTCAGCAAATAACCTAATGTAGGAGGAAATGTAATGAGGCCAATCATTATTATATATTAAAAAAAGTAAGAGACCCAAAACAGAGCCTTGAGGCACACCTGAGGTTACGGCAGTAGGAGGAGAGTTACATTCATTAGCAGTCACAAATTGCTCGCGGTTATGTCAGGCGCACTCAGTCCATTTTAAGCTGTGTGTGTCAAGATTTAGTTTACTTAACTTTAAAAGTAGTATTTCGTGACAAACTGTGTCAAATGCTTTAGATATGTCGATAAATACACAATCAATAAAAGTACCACGATCAAAAGCAGAAAACAAATCATTAGTAAAGCACAAAAGCTGAGTTTCACACAAGTAACGTTTTCTAAAACCATGTTGAAAGTTAGTAAAAAAGAATTATTCTCAAGAAAGTTGACTAAGTTGCAGTAAATGACATGTTCTCATAGCTTACATGGCACACTAGTTAGTGAGATGGGTCTATAATTGTGGGAATCGTTGGTGTTACCTGACTTGTGAAGTGGAACCACCTTCCCCATTTTCCGGTCGTTTGGCAGGGTTGATTGATATGTGGGGTTTAACGTCCCGAAACCTCCGGTCGTTTGGCAGGGTACTCGATTCCAAAGCCTGTGAAAAAATTCTGTACAGTAATAAGTATTAAAATACTGTACAGTATTATACTGTACAGTATTATATACTGTACAGTATTAAAATACTGTACAGTATTATTCTGTACCATATTGGCTTGTATTAAACAATTTCTAAATAAATATTAACTTGGTGTTCTCACTCGGATACCTCACGATAGTACATTTTGACTACACGTATCCGCACGCTAAAACTTGCATACCGAATAAATGCTCGCTCTGACATACATTAGCTGATTGAGTTTGGATATGTGTGGTTTAACGTCCCAAAACCACGGTTAGATTATGAGAGACGCCGTCGCGGAGGGCTCCGGAAATTTCCAACAGCTGGGGTTCTTTAACATGCACCCAAATCTGACCTCACAGGTCTACAGCATTTTCGCCTCCATCGAAAATGCAGCCGTCACCACCGGGTTTATTTCCCGCGACCGGCTGGTCAGCAGCCGAGTACCTTAGCCACTAGACCATGTACCACGACGGGGCGACATATCTACACTGACAGACTGCATTGTTCCTTTCACATTTCAC